GTTAATTATTGTAATATTTTAATATTTAATAAGAATTTATTGTGATTAGACGGACAAGATTTAATATATGACTGCTTTAGCTTTCTCATTTGTAGAAAAAAAGAGTGTACATTATTTTTAAAAAAATAAAACGCATTGACCACAAAGCCGGCAGAACAGATAATAATTTTGTAAGTCTGGAAAAGTGTTGTACAATTTTTGGCAATAGCGACATGGCGGCATTTTCAATCTTTGACTTTGTATTTGACAACTTTAAACTTAGCCCCGATAAAAGTTATTATAAATCACGCATAGAAATGATTGAGTACGGGATCTGAGGTCGTCACGACGGTGTAGATGTCAGTGATTTTATTCTGGATTGTAACGCCGCGTGGACTTATGGGTAGGTACCATCGTTTCGAAGAAATAGACGGCTACCATCATGAGCCCTGAGGATGGAGGCTGGTTGTTCGTTCGAAACTTCGGTATCTATCTACAATTCAACGCGGCGTTAGAGCTCAGAGGATCAATATTGAGATCATTACCTAGTGTAATTATTAATGAAAGTCTATTACTATTCTCGTCGTAGGCCTTCGTTGAAGAGTTTTAAAGAAACGGGATTTATGTGTTTTTTTCTCCCGAACTTACTTCTTTGGTGTCTAGGATTTATTATGATTAAATATGTGCATGTACAGACTTTTCCTGACTTCTTCTTCTTTTTCTTACTCACTTGGCTGTTTTTAGAGCTAACAGTTCCAGCATTACTGAATAAAGTTTGTAGTTGATACAAATTGACTACATTACCGTCACTGGGGACAAGATGGGAGTTATATTTTACTTTTAAGATAGAAAAGAAAGAAGTCAACTCAGCGGTAAGGGGCCAATGGAGACTGCGATTCTGTGGAATAAGACATGACGGGGATGAATAGCGAACTGACGTAATTTTCGAACTTGTTTGTTTCTTCCCCAACGGAATAAATATTCCGGGACAGGTCGACCATTTTCTTGGATATTGTCCAATGAGGTGAGACTATGGCACAAACCATGAAGTATCCCGATTCGGGGTAAACCGGATTTATTCTCTTTGCTTAATGCATATGAAAGAAGTATTCCTTTAATCGGAATGTTATATCGCGGCCAAGTTCAAAAATTCACATGATTTGTTTGTTTTTGTAGTTTGGCATCCCGTATGTCATTTGCCAAACTTATACTTCTTCTTTCTGTAGTTTAACTTCTGGGAGTGTTGCCAATGGACATATCTGAGAACGTAAAGTTTAAAATATACAAAAATGTTATCTTGTGTTGTGTTTTGTGGGTGACGAACTTGGTCTGTCATCATTAAGATTGAGGATACTTGAGAACAGAGAGTCGATTAGAATAGTTAGATCTAAAAAGGAGGACATAAAAATATGCCGGAGAAAACTGCGTAATGAGGAGCTTCCTTGAATTGTATTCTTCACAAAATACTCTTAAGATTATGAAATCACTGGCAATGATCATTAAGTAATTATAGATGATTTATGTAGTCCAGTACATTTTCCAGCCGCGAACGCGATAATTAACCTGTTAATAAGTTCTCACGGAGATGAATATAAAAATTACTGCCTTCTAGGTCGTTGCACCGCGTAACATGACCGATATTTCGGAGGTTTTTACTGCCTCCTTCATCAGGGCGATGATAGACGCAGCAAGCATCTCTGAAGCGCCGATAA